TTGCGATGTTGGAGAGGATGCCAAGAGCCAAAGACTAGTGACTACTGCCTACACAAATTATGATAAGCACTTAAGTATAATAGGCCATGAAGCAGCAATCAATGCGAGGTTCCAAGTCCCAAGTCCCAGTCCCTTGTCCAAATTCCAAAGTCCAAGTCCCAGCCGACTATTGAGCAAATGAAAGTTGGGACGGAGGACTCTTTGCCAAGTGCATGGTCAGCTACCTCGTGCTGTCTCCCTCTCCCACTGTCATGCTATCTCTTTTGTTTTTCGGGCCAGAAAACAAAATCACTTAGAAGGCTGTCGACCGTTTTGCTTGCCAAGAAAATTTACAAAAATAATAGAAAATACTAAACTGGATAATGTGCCAAATAGTTGTTTTTTCATTTAGACTCATTCCCCTTCTCTCTCTTTTGTTCTCTACCCATCTCTGACGATTTATATGTATATTTTATATATTTATATGCAAATGTTAAATCTAACGAAAACAAAACGGAAATCCCGGAAAAGCCTGAGAACGCCTTGAAATGTGTCAGAGGCATACTTTGTAAATGGAAAACTACAAACTCCAGGCAAGTCAAAATCAATTATAGAAAAATCTAAAAACATTGCTACAGAATAACAGTTGTTACAGGATCTGCAAAAGTTTGAAACCTTAAAGAATTTTGATTAGCAAACAATATAGAAAGAAGGAAAAATTACTTGGATTGCTCAACTTAATTGGCTGTGTTTGTGCAGACTTTAAGGCAAACTCAGACTTGGCAGGCAATCTAAACACATATTCTGAATTATAAACGTACAAACAGGATCTAGGGCCAGGGATTTTAGGCAAAATTCTCTCCAAGCTGAATCACTTTAACTGCAGTCATTGGCTACTAACTGAAAACGATAAAGACCCGGGGTTTGGTGAACTAAAACATTTGACTGCCTAACTTAACGGATGACCCAAGGCAAACAGTATAGCTCCATTTGGAACATCATATCCATACCAGGACCCTCCTGGAAAAAGAAGGCCCTACAACTGAAGAGGGAGATGAAGCGAAAGTGTGGGGTGAGAATGGAGAACAAACAAACAAGTTGCAGAAGGCGCTTATTATTGTTTGCCATTGAAGCATCACTGGGGCAGGGCAACTAGAAACCCAAACAACGACATCGACCACCATGGCGGAAATCAAAACAATAGACCCCGAACCCGAAAATTCCGCAAAATGACCGATGAAATGGAGACTCCGGAAGAAGAGCACGGAATAGTGCCAACAAAAGTTCAACTGGAAAGCCTAAGTGGTTAGTGGTGATCCAAACTATTTTACGCTTCTGGCCTCAACTGAGAGAAATTGAATAATAAGTCTTTAAAGGAGTGTTAAATTAAATATTTAAGGTAACCCATACACTTGTACTATTTTTTAAACTTTGAACTTTAAAGTTATACCTTTAAATAGTTTTCAAGTAAATCAACAATATTTCTATCAATATGTATCTCTTTGTGTATTTTATCTTTTTAAAAAAACAAGCCTATGAATGACCATAAAGTTCTGTTAATTACCCAATAATTACCCATGGAATATCGGAAGGGGAATGAGAGTTTATATTTCCCTCACACATTGGTAGACCCTAAAATGCGTATACGCCGGGTGAGCCACGCACAGTGGGATACAAGCACGTCGCATAACGAAGCAATTAAAGGGAGAAAGTATGCAAATATCCGCTGACCAAAAAAGAAGAAAAATGTGAATTAATGTGGCGTCAAATTGAATGACAAGCCGCCGCCAAAAGGCGGCATTCTACAAAAAGGTAGAAAAAATGGCAAAAAAAAAGCGTCGAATGGAATTAAAGATGGTGATGGCGACGATGAGTGAGGCAGGAAAAGAAATGGGACGACAATTTCATTTCAAAAATGCAAGGCGCCGTGATGATGCTGATAAAAATGAAGTGGATTCCTCACAGAATTATAAACAGCTGTAAGACGAAACGAAAAGGCTGAAAAAAAGACTGAAGAAAATGCCAATGCAGCCAGCCATTCGTCTACTGTCCTGCTGCCTGCTGTCCATCTGTCCACTTCAGTTCCGTAACAAGGGACAGTCGGACAGGTGGGTGGTATCACTTGCCCGGAATTCTGACCGGTTGTTCTCGCCCTGTGTCACGTTTCAGTTAGTCAAATGAAATGAAGAGGTGGCTGGCACTGCTGCGGGCTGCAAAATACACAGCCGTACAATACGATGACCAAAATTACATAAAGAAATTGTGAAAGGTGTGTAACACAAAAAACCCACGATACCTCAAAGGATTCTCAATGTCCGCCCCAAGACTGCATTTTAATTGAAGCGTTTTCAAAAGGAGAGAAAACTAGTTTATTTTTAATAAAAATATATGAAGATAACCACTCATTGGAACGATTATTAAGATACATTCTCTGTAATATATGACAGTCATCAATGTTTTCATTTATTTTAAAATAAAACAAAAATGGATGGTTGGCTTCAAAATGATACATGAGAATATTTGATTGTCAGGAAGAAAATCGAATGCTGTTGAAATATACTCGTACACATACATAAATAAATAAAATAAAATAAAATAAATGCTTCGTTAGAACCTTTTGTATGCCCTGGGATAATTTAATATTTTCTTTGACACTCGAAATCCAAACAATTCCTAGGACCTAGGGCCATAAATGAATGCTTTGTCATGATTTCTTTCATTATAGACCGACGCCAAATGACAAACCACACACAGCACACCCAACACAAAGTCAACGAACGAATGCACACACAAACCGAGGCAAGTTTAATGAGAGTAGAGTAGAATTTCTGTTGTCCCCACCAATATCCTTCCACTATATCAAACTCATCCTACGATCAGATCCTACGCCCACTAGCCCCAACATACATCTGCACGTCCAAGTATGTGTGCAAATTATTATACCAGTCGCATTCCCATATATATACATTTGAGTGTTGATTTACATTTTTGATTTATTTTATTTATTTAAGCCTGTGCCTTCTGTGTGCGGCAGTGTCGTCGTCTAGGCCACAGAAATGGTAAAAGCAAAGCGGTCTACAAAAACCAGCTACCAAAAATATTGCTGCCCATAATTTTCATCCTCTCATTCGTATTTTTTTGGCCATTTTTTTCCTTTCGGTTTTTGTGGATTTATCGCAGATTTTGTTCTTGATGTAAGTGTTTTGTATCTTTCTTTCTTTGTTCTGGCCTAAACACTGAAGTATTTTATAGATACTCGGAGCTACATGAACGAAATTATCTACAAATGGTTCAATGACTTAGACGGGCTTTACAAACAGCTTGTCTGCCCTCTGGCCTTGTATTATAATTCCTAGAAAATTAGAAGCTATTCGAGCAATGCTGTACAATATGACTTTTTCATTTAATTTTTATGCTCGTTCAATCATCAGTTAATTTTAGCCAAGTAATGATTGTTAAATGGTCCGGAAGGCCTTAAATTATATATGTAATTCTGTCTTGGTTGACCAAAAGGACGGCTGTATAATTTTGTGTTAAAGGTCAGCTGGTAATTATTTTATTTGCCCTGCGGAGTGCGGATGTTTTGTTATTTTAAGGCCAGGACTTTGTCTGCATTCTGGACCAAAGGAAATGCTGACGAAAACACACTGTAGACAAAAGGAATCCCTCTGCAGATAAACAAATAAACAGTGTGTTCCAGGACATAGAACTCAAAGAACTAGCTCTGGTAGCGCAATTATAGTTAACGAGTTTCCACTGTACTCGGCCGAGTGGTCTGTGTATTTTTCATAATTATGTGTGCATATTACTTATGAGCAGCCAGAGAGGCAAACAAGGATAATGGAAGATGCAGGGCCAATGCCGAACTCCCAGTCCGGCAACAAGAGGCGTCTGTAACTAGGCAAACATTTGTCGTATATTACGGCTAATTTAATTGACTTGCCCGGCTTGCTTCTGGCCATGTGTTTCCCTGCATGTGGGTGTTTCTATTTGTGTGTGTTTCAATGCCCCAGACCACATATTGATTTATTTCTTTGATGTGTACTTGTACACCGCCGTTGACAAGAATTTTGGTATTGACAATGCCAGTCAATGTTTCAAAATACCTTTGTACCAATAATTGGGGGACCATTCAATTGCACCGAAGAGTTGTTCAATCTTAATTAGGTTCGAAATTAATCAAGAAATTCTTGGAATATCTGACAGACAGAGTTATTTTAAAGGAAATGCTTAACCATTTAAATACGTAGAGTTATAATGAGCTTTTCGAAATGTCTGCTTATAAAGCATTTGCTATAACTAGGCAGCTTATCAAAGACTCTTTAGAGACACATTATTCAATATCCCTAGATACAGTTTAACGTGAAGAATATTTTCCCCCCAGTAGGGCATTAGATCGGTGACAAAAGATGTCATTACTGCCTAAAATGCATCTCCTTTCATTTAAGCTCTTCGACCGGAATGGAATGCTCATGAGTTTTGGCAAATGCCACTTACAGTTAACGGAAACCAGGCTGCCGCTGCCAAGACGACATGTTCAAATTCTGGTGCAAATGTTTTGGCCAAATTTGTGTGTGAATGTGTGACAGAGGCTTGGAATACCTCCTTGCGGGCCCGGCATGCTTTATATTCACTTAATTATAGATGCGACACGCACATCCCTAGTCCTGCTCCTGGCCCTATTGTAATGTGTGTCCCTGCCCCCAAAACTGTGAACATATTTATGGGCCATGGGGGAACGGAGGAGTTGGACAGACGATGTGGATTCTGCTCTGACCCTTTGGGATTCCTGGACTCCCCATGTCCATTTCGTAATGGGACACGATGCCACAATAAACTAGCAATTACCAGAAGTACAATACTCTGACACAGGTATCTACAAATTAACCACAAAATTTTCCATAATTGGTGAGGAAGTAACAAGTTTATGAATGCAAGGAAATTGTAAAATGTCTCTTTTAAAAAGAGTCTTTTCGGAAAAGATTTCAAAACACAAAGGGCACTCCATCTGCTGCACTTACCATTCACATCACACGTTCAATCTGTGCACTTTGCAGGAGTTCACGTTTTTAACCCAACAAGGATCGACAGGTTCTAAAAAAAGTTCTTTCCAAATTTTTTTTCTCGAATTTCTGTTTTGAGTTTTCAGTTTTTCACGACAGCCTGCAGTCTGGACGAATACGGCGAAAAAAATGGGAACAGAATATGAAACCGCGGCAGCTTTGCTTAACTAAATTTTGTTGTCAAAACTTCAATTGTGTGGAGCCTGCCCGAAAAGTTCAGTCCAAAACATTTTGACAGGCCCCCGGAAGAACGGAGAGAGTACAAGTATTTGAAGGGGTATGAGGGGGTGGAAGAGTAAGTGAAGGGCGAGGGGTGGCCGAAAAGTTTTTGCGGAAATGCCAACGTGTGAGGCCACCGAATCGGCCGAGTTTCAGTTACGAGCGCACTTAACTATCACGGCAAACTTTCCAGCACTTAACAACACTTGAGCGAAACTTTTTCTAACCACATCAACTTGTTTGGCAATCCAAATATACTATATCCTTCTCACATCTTTATACCCGTTGGGTCCTTATCTTTGGCTAATTCGCTGGTTGGTCGTTGGCCGATTTGTAATTCAATCAGCGTCTTTATTTCTCGTATGCTCCGCTCCCGTGTTTCTGAAAGCCACGAAGTGGACTTCGTTTTCTTTTTAGATTTTCCGACCAGCTCTTGCCCCGTGGCTGCAACCGCTCCGTCGAAGGAATCACCGCAAACTGTCTGAGCGTATCCAAGTCCCCAGACAGCAGACTGTTGGCCCGGCCAGCAGCATCCTTCTTGGCCAAGAAACATCGCCGCACTTTATGAATGGTGCGATGTTTTTAGGAATGCATCGGAAACGGAACACGGACCGCGCATGCCCACAGGGCGTATGAAAGATTTATGACAGTTCTTCTGCCACCGAAAATACATCGAACACGTGGCGCCGGACCCGGACCTCCAACAAGTGTGATAAGCCTGATAACGCCCCAACGCAAATTCAACTGTGTTTTTTATAACACTCTTCGAGTGTCTAAGGTCAGGGACGATGACCGCAAGCCGATGGAACTGAAAAAGGGGTTGTATAGTCATGTGTTATACCAAATAAAAGTTTATTAATATTGTTAAAAAATTGTAAGACTAAAATAAAATCTAATTAAAGCAGAAACATTAGAATCAAAACTAAGGTGTAACTATACTATCAATAGAGACTGTTACAAAAGCTTTCTGTTTAGTTATCAGCATATAGCCGGGCTAATTAGTTTTATTGTATATCGAATCACTCCCAAACAAAAAGCTTATCAGTCTAGTATGAGTTTTCATTCAGAGAATGGTATTGCCGTAAGAAGATATCTTCCGTAAAGATATGTAGTATTTTCCTTATCAGGCATCGACTGTTTATTCGCTTATGCAACAATTTGCACTCGGCGTGACGCTAATTAATTAACTTGGCCAAACACAATGGCTTGGGTGTTAGGGGATACTTGGTATCAACGAAGAGATGATACTCCTGTTGCGGTGGGATCACCTGCCAATGGTCGACCCTTCCTGCATGCCTGAGTGGGTGTCGGATGATGCATCGCTATAATGGGCATTATTAACTGACGGCTCATGTTACGCCTCAATAGGCAAAGCGACCCCCAAAACCGCCAATCAAATCAAAATTGAATTCGCTGACGGGCATGACTGCTGGCATGTGTCTTCCGCCAAATCCCCTTTGAATTTAAGGCTTTAAGATGGGGCATTCCATTTGCATGCCAATCGGCAGTAGCATCTTGTCCCGGACCTTTGCCTTTTGGCAATTTTGCGCATTTTTAGCAGCCATGCCCTGTTCGTTTCGCCAAACAAATTCTGAAACACTTTAAACTATTTTGCCTTGCTCTCTGGCCGTTTCTGTCTGTAATTTCATGTTAATATATGCATGCAGTTGGGCAACTTCCGCGTTTTCTGGTCGGGGCTACTGGGTTGGGGCACACAATGCAAATAGTGCAACAGGGCGTGGCAGCTACCCGAAATATGGCAACAATAATCAGATTCCAGCGTCGAGTTCATTTAAACTGCAATACTTTCTTGGCGAGCAATATTAAAGTGGTTTTCAGTTACGGCACATAATAGGTGATATAGTGTACTTGCTTTAAGCCATGGCTAACATGAATTATACTCTTTGCGATACTAGCAAGAATGTGACAATGTGTGACAAAAAAAACGAGATTAGTTGAAGAGGGTCAGGGCTCAGACAAGGAGCTTAGAAACACTTTAGGAGGATCGTAAACTACACATGTGGTACATTTACGTAAAAATATTGCAGTCTTATTAATGATTTGTAGATTGTACTGAACCAAGGTCCTACAGTAGGGGCGATCACCCGGCCTATCTGGTTTTCAGTTAGTTTGTCATGGTTAGTCACCGAACTGGTGGTACGCTTTATCGGGTATCCCGGCATCCAACGTTACCGCGGCACCGCTGAGCTATAAATACGGAAGTCATACCTTCCCTAGCAGCGGAAATTAAAAATCATTCGACCCGAGAAGATTAGACGAGCCCACCACAACCCATCATGAGCCATCAGCTGATGTGTCCAAGTAGCCACCCCATCGAGTTACGCAGAACAGGCCGACTAATCTATGATTTATTTTGGATAAACTTTGGACCCAAGGAATGTTTCGATTAATTGCGAAAAATGGTTATATGATAAACGGGCCTCCATGGCGATATAAAAAGAGAATGTCTACTAGTCCAGGCACTCAGTTGTGAATTCAAATCGGACCAGCAAAATGCCGACCAAGGCTATATTCCCCACCTTCTATAATGCGGAGACGAAGATCTGGAGCGGACCGCCCAGGGCCACGTTGTACGACTATAATGCCTCCGCCGGCCAAATAATCCACAACTCCCTCAAGTGCTGGCCCACCAATGTGATTCAGGTAAACACCACTCGGAGTCTGGACCGGGATTCGGGTGTCTGATGAGCTCTCATTTAAATAAAAGTAGATCACCGACGACGATGGCACCGTGCTGACTAACGCCGACATGCTGGCCTATGCCACGAGGATCGCTCTCTACCTGAAGAGCGAGGGCCTTACCCATGAGGATAGGGTTGGTATTATCGCCAATTCCAGCACTTATGTGATTCCCCTGGCTACTGCCTGCTTCTTCAACGCCACGCCGTTCCACGCAGTCAACTACAGCCGGGAGCCGGCCATCGTCAAGGGCTTGTTCTCGGTCACCAAGCCCAAGATCATGTTCATCGATGCCCCCGACTACGAGCGCATCAAGGAGATCACAAAGGAGTGGTCCCCCAAGATCATCACCCTTACGGGTCGTGTGGAGGGACTGGCCAGTGTTGAGGATCTGCTGAAGCCCCATCCTGCCGAGAGAATTTATGTGTAAGTGGAAGAACCGGCCCTCCCATAATTCATCGTTATAATTCATTGTATTTTGCAGCCCCACTCCCTTGGTGAAAGGCGGCGACCAAGTTGCTGTGGTTCTGTGCTCTTCTGGAACAGCTGGCCTGCCCAAGGCTGTGGCCCTTTCCCACCGTCACGTTGCTGCCACCAACTCGTGAGTGTTATGCACAATATCCTAACACTACAATAGTACAATCCTGATTTAATTTCCAATCCAGGCTCGCCATCAGCACAGATGTACTGTATACCAGCGCCACAATTGACTGGATGACCGGATTCTCGATTACCATTATGAATCTCATGTGTGGCTTCACCCGCATCCTCTCCAGCAAGCCCTTCAGCGCCGCCAACGCCCTTGAACTCGTGAAGAAGTACAAGGTCACCTGCATTGCGATGGCCCCATGGCAGGCGTATGAGCTGTACACGAGTCCTCTGGCCGTTCCCGAGAGCCTGACGTCCCTGAAAATTTCCTTTGTGATTGGTGGATGGATTTCCCTTCAACTGTTGCGCAAAGCCCAGGAACTGATGCCTAATACGTTTATCATGTTCTCGTATGGAACCACCGAGACCGGTGTGGTGACCGTCAACTGCGATCAGAGACTGGAATGCTCAGTGGGCAGAGTGGCGCCCGGAATGCGCGTTAAGATTCTGGACGAGAACCGCCAAAACTTGCCAGCCAACCAGACAGGCGAGATCCTCATCGATATCGGCCTGACTTGGGAGGGCTATCTGAATAACCCAGTGGACACGGCTGCCACCCTCCAGGATGGCTGGATCAATTTGGGGGATCTGGGCTACTTCGATGACGACAACAACCTGTATCTGGTGGACCGAAAGAAGGATCTGCTGAAGTACAAGTCCAAGCACTATTGGCCCAACGAGATTGAGCAGGTGATCGCCGAGCTGCCGGAGGTGAAGCACGTGTGCGTTGTGGGTGCTCGGGATGCGAGGTATGGCGACGCCGCCGGTGCTCTCATCATCAAGAAGGAAGGCGCTGAGATCAGTGCCCAGAAGATCATCGACTACGTGGCCCAGAAGCTGGTAGTGGACTACAAGCACCTGAATGCCGGCGTCATCTTTGTGGACAAATTCCCCAAGAACCCCAACGGCAAGGTCATGAGGAGCTTGGCGCGCGACATATTCGAGGAAGCACAAAATATTCAAACACAATAATTTAATATTCTTTCAAAACCCAAAACATTTTAATTTTACTTTATAACCAATTGTTTTTGAATAATATTTGTTTATGATAATTGAAATTTTAATTGTTAATATTTGACTAATGTTATTAAACTTCGCTTTACTTTCGGAGAGCGTTTAATTTTAAAATTTTTCGTTATTTGTTAATAAATATTTATGTGATACGCGAATAAAATGTTTGCCCCAAAAGTAATTATTTATTTATTGGTATTTGTCTTTCATTAATTGAAAGCATTGCACTTTTAAATACATTTTAGATAAGATATAATATATTATTTTTTTTAAATTTTTAACTGATTTTTATATTTTTAGATTATAATTTGAACTATCATCATGAGAGGGTACTTTCTGGCAATTATGTTTTTCTTAATTAAATAAACAGTTCTTATAAGTAGCGTCAGGACGATAAGATACCTTATCTTTGAGAATTATTTTATTTATCTAATTTAATAACAAACCTAATACCTTTATTGATAGGCAAGTACGTCAGTCGTCCAAAGCACTTTTATATAATTCGATTGAGATTTTAAGATGCCACTCAGTCGTTTTGTTTCCGGTTTCAAAATTCCGCAAAATGGTCAATTTCCCGTGCGAATATTTGCACTTGATCCCGGGTATTGTTGTGGCACACGACTGTAAATGCAACAATTTACGGTTATGAAAATGAATATTCGTGCAGTTCGATTGCAATAATTTACCTTCCGGTTGATGGCGACATTATGTGTTTCCGCTTCACGTTCAACACTATCACAACCGCTGTTTCCGCTCCATTCTGCTCGCCGCATGCCGCATGCCGCATACTGAATGCCGCATGTCGCACATTGCCATCTGCTCGATTTCGCAAACGGGCCAGCCTGTGTTCATTTCCAGTTTCCAGTTTCAACCAATTTTCAAGGGTTATGCAAAACTTGGATGACCGGACTAGACCGTCGAGTGCCGGAGACCACTCGAAACCGAATTGCCCCAGCCCGAGACCGAGCCCGTACCCGTGCCGGATCCGTGGTTTTCCAGCCAAGCGAATTCAATGTACCATGTCCTGTTTTGTTTTTGACTTTTGGAGGGGGCTGGCGATTTGGTAACTAGAGTTTTATCTTGGCTTTCTGCGAGTTTTCTCCTTTTTGGTGTTTTGCAATGCACTCGCATTGCATTCTTGGCTCCTTCTCGTCGTTGTCGTCGTCGCCATCGTAAATTATTCAAATTTTAAGTCGTAAATAAACGCGCATAAACATAAACACAATCGCTGTTTGCCGGCCTGATTTTGCCACTGGCCACACCCCCACCCAGCCTCTCGGGAAACATCTTTTAGGGGATTTAGATTTCAGACTCCGGATTGCCACATCTCGGAATCTCTGGGTCTGTGGACGCCGTGGCATGCCCCTCGTGAATTTTGTGGCAAATTGCTGCAACCGTTTAGTATGTTGGCTTCGCAGACAGTGCGAATATATGATACTTTTCGGTTTGCCCGGAAAATTGATTCCAGAGTTTATTCAACGGATAAGTTTAGAACATGCTTTTGGCTATTTGACGGCCATTTAAATGTATTTCAGAATTGTATTGTGGCTGACGTTTGTTTTACGCTCGATGGGGTTCTTTAAATTGGTTAAATCCTCTGGGAAAAGGTGAGATCAAAACAAATAATAAATAAACTGAATTCAATTATAAAAGAGTTTTATGTACAATGATTGTGGCATTGAAGAACTGTCACTCATGGATTGGATGGAAATCGAAATAATTCTAGGTTATTTTCCGATTTCCATCCAATCCATGAGTGACAGTTCTTCACTTTACAAATATATATGTATATATTTGGATAACCCGGATTTCGCTATGGGTTCTCCTACAAAAATTGGAAAAATATTGCTCCAATATTGTATACTAATGTTTGGATGTAGATTAAGTGAGAGTTGAACTACACATAATTTAAGGTATCACGATCAAGGATAGGATAATACTTGACTAAGAAACGGCCATGGCCTGGAGACATATTTGGTTATCAAAAGAATCCGGAATTACATATAGGTATTACATAAAAAATGTAATAATAAATTAATCCATAATTTGGGGGTAAAGTTTTATGATGAATAATAAACATTAAAGCCTGAAAGTTAGATCAGGCAATATCTGAAACTTGGAAAATGTATAGATAGGTAATAGGTACGGTAAATATCTATAGCCTGAAAAAGTTCTATTCCACCCCTCCAGCATTTCTGAAACACCAAACCCCATAAGGACATGTTTAGCCAATGGGTTAATGTTGAAACTGTAATCTAACCGGTTTTGACGGCTTTTGAAATGACTCGTCAGCCTCTTGAGTCTTGAAAGCCATTGGCAATTGTTTGATTGATGGACATCCTGCTAGATGGCTTCGATTGCTTCGCTTGAGTGACACGGAACAGCGAAAGCCACGCCAATCTCTTTATCTGCAGGACACGCACATCCACACACTTTGCAGGTCGATGGCCCCGCAAGACTGCCCCTAGGATCCTGCTTTAATCACTCATCCACCCACCCTCTAATTATGTCCTTGCCACAGCCTCTCGTTGGGAAAACGATGTTTACATGCAATTACCGTTTTAGTGTTTCGCTGTCAACTCGAACGCTATTTGCCATTGTTTATTACATGCTCTCTCCGACTCGTACCGATTCGGCTCTGGACTGAGTCTATATATATACCCCCCTGGGCACGGGGTCGGTGGAGAGGAGTGTCGGTGGCATTCTTAATTGCATTGCTGCCAGCCATGCATCATCACAGAGCTATTTCAGTTACAGTTTTCTGCAACAACGGTGGCAGGTAAGAATGTTTTATGACTGCAGCTTAAAGGCAAAAACGTGGCTAATTCTCTGAAGTGTCCTGCGTCCTTAGTTAATACTGCCATTGCCATTACTTTCATTTTGATTAATTTATATTTCGGATAGCAGATTTGATAAGTCAATTAAAATTCAAAATCCCTCTTAATAAACTTCTCAGACATTTTCTTGGCCGGTCTTTACGCCAAAGGCAATTTAAGTTGCCTAAGTGTCCATGAATTATTCATTGCCATTCGTGTCCTGGCCCACGCGTCGATGATTAAATCAAATCACTTCAACCCGTTGCCAACCAATTGCCACCAATGAACCCACTCACCCACTCAAGGTCACTCTTATCGGGGTCAAAGTGCAAATGATGCCCACGGGCCGAATTATCAAAGAAAGTCGACTGCCAGGGCAGTGTCACCGCCTCAAAAAGGGGTTAATTGTATTGCTCCTTCGTCTAATTTACTGAAATTTTGTAAATTCGGTAAATTTCGGTAAAAGTTCAACGTGGGTCGAGAGAAAGTCAATTCCAGCTTCCTATTCGCAGTTCGTTGCGTTGACAGGAAACAAACAAACTTCCATCTGACTGGAGCAACTGTAACAAAAGGTCCGGGAAGGTCAAAGGTTAGACATTCGAAAAACAGAGAAATAAATAAGAGCCAAATGGGGACACTTATTGTCAGAATCCTGACCGGCATTCGGGTTTTGCAAAATTTAATAATAGGAGTTTTCAGCACAACACCTATATGCCTGCAATATTTGATATTTTTGCATGGACCAGAGATATTGAATGAGAATTCTCATTCTGTGGCATTCTGGTTTCTGATTTGAATTTCCAATTTTTGGTGCATTGGCCATTTGCTTTTAATAAAAATTCATCAAGAGTGAACAGGGAAAAAAGTGGAAAAAGGACAAAGGCAACACATCCATAGAAGCATGTGCGTCAAATGTAATAAAAAAAAGGCGAAAAAAAGTCGAAAAGGCTAAAGGAATGGCCAGAAACAATGGCAGGCATGCAACCGGAAACGGAAGTCGACGCAGACAAACACCAGATACGAAAGGGCGCCATGGCTGAAGGAGAGAAAATGGAGGCAAGGATAAGACAGGGGAACAAAAGGAAACAAGCTGTCCCTTTTCGGTTTTCCCAAGATGATTTTTAAATAAGCACACAGCCCAACCAAAAACATACCTCTGAACTTTTATGGCATTTCAATTTGGGGAAGAAAACAAAACAAGACGGCCAAGGGGCGCCCTACGGCCAAGGACTAATAGGCATGGAGCCTTGACAGCAGCACGTCCTGTGGATGTGGAGCGAAACTGGCGAAATGGCAGCAACCATAAACGAAAATGTGTAAAAAGCTTAAGCGGCACTAAAAGATCTTCACCCATTGCATCCACGGTATTCGAAGCACCACCCACCTTGACATCCACCAAATAGGTACATAATGGCCGCCTGACACAGTGGGCAGATGTCAACATGTGCTTTTATTATCAGAGCGAGTGCACCACCGACCCCTGCTCCTTGTTTTTTCGCCGTTTTCGCTACTTTTGGCCACGTGGCAGGACTCGAAATGCAACTTAATTAAGAGCCGAAAAAGCTCTGGTGGGTACATGGTGGGGACCGAAAGGAAACTGCATCTGGCATCTGCGGCGGTTAATGCCGGGCGGCCATAAATCTGCCGAAATGCACTGCAAGCACCGGGGAATGGCCCGGAGATATAGGTTTGGGGACAGCCCTGGTCCAGGCGCCAGAGAGCAGGGAGCTATATAAATATACGACTGGGAAGCGATAGCCGAGCGAATTGCGACTTTTATGACCACCAGCGTAGCGAGTGAATTAAATGGGGGGTAATTACATATTATAAATGTGTTTAGTTTGGCGATAGTTGTCCACCTTCCCCTCAGACAAAGGCCAGTTATCACAATGTATACGGCAGGACCATAAACGAGCACTGGGAATAATAAGTATCTTACTCCAGAGACTGATAGGCTAGTTACGTTATGATTCACAAATCAAAGAGTATCAGATTTGACTAGTATTAAGTTTTAATTAAGGTTCAAAGACCCATAAACTATAAGAATTTAGAAAGAAATACTAGTCCTGTGAGGGGACATTCAATTTTGAGCGACAATGTTAATTTTTGTAATCGGTTCGGATTCTGCCTTCTAAATAAGTATATGGAAACAAATGATTAACTGAACAGCTAACTCATTCTTGACTTTATTTGGTCGCAGACAGCTTCAACAAACTCGGAGCACGAGGCAGATCCGCCAAGGTCCTTGGTGCGTATATCGGTATCCGTGAACACTGAGCGAACTCCACACTCAACCAAATCGGCCAAATCGTATAGCTTTAAATGCCGCAACATGAGGGCGGCGGAGAGCAGGGAACCGGTTGGATTCACCTGATCCTTGCCAACCAACTCACAATAGACCTTCGTGCGGCACTCGAAAACGTGTCCCAGGACACTGACCGAATAGCCGGGGGTTATGCCAGGAGCACCCATCATGGCACCCATTACGACTCGCATCACATCCCCATACATACTGGACGAGACAACGACATCGTTCTGGCACGGCTTCATCAGTAGATTGGTGATCACTGTGTCCAGGTAGTGCTCCTCGAAGAGAACCTTGCCCGCATGCTTGTTTGCCTCCTCATGAACGGCGTCCAGAAAGTTGCCATCGGTCATCCGCATAATGTTGGCCTTGTGGGCCACCGAGACCTTAGATCGTTTGTTTTGGATGGCGTAGTCGAAGACAAATTTAGCGATCCTCTGGGCACCGGCTGTGGTACTGACCTTGATCGTTTGCATCACCCCCGGCACCACTTTATGCTCGATGCCGGAGTAATCGCCTTCCATCTGATCCCGTACCATTACGACGTCGAATTCTCCGAACGGGGTATCCACGCCCTTCAAACTCTTTATGATCGATACGTAGGCGAACTGTTCGAAGGCCTTGCGAATGTGACGCTGCCATTGGCGACTCGACACAGGACCCTTGATGCCGACTTTATTGCGGCCCAATGATTCAAGGATCGGCGCTGGTACATTCTCGTTATCGGGTGACTTGCATTCCTCGAAGATCTCCCAGTCGATGGGCGCCTTGGCCGCATCGAGGACCTGTCTTACGGCGCACATTACTTCAGGGCCAACGCCCTCGCCATTGATCATGGTAACCTTCCTGTTCCCCTTATCCTTGCCCTCGGCCCTGGCCTTCCACTGGCTCTTTGCTAGGTCGGAAAACCATTTCGAAGCAGCAGCTGTCGTCGATCTCAGCTGGCCCACTCGAACCTTTCGCAAGATGTTCATTTTAGTAGATTTGGCCCGAAAATTGAGTTGTGACTTGGAAAGATTTGTTTGCTTGTTCAAAAAAAAAATATATATATGTATAAGATGTCTATATTATGTATAACACTTGGCCGCAAATTGTTTTGGCAGACGTTCAATTGCATTTTCATAAATTCAAAGCCTTGGCAGCGGCACCATCTGGGTCACTGGGTGGGGATTTAAGACTTTAATGTGCCACCTGGAAAGGTGAGGCCGATGGAGGTTGGGCGGCTGTGGGTGGATAAATGATTTCACCCTGCGGCTGTGTAAATGTGACAAATGGCTTGTCAACGGCTCTCTCTCTGGACGGGCGGGTCAAACAACTGCCGGCGACAGACAAATGCCCGCCCCGGGGGCGTGGCAATTATGAGGACTGCGGCTGTGATTTTTCACACAACACCACAGATATACTCGCCCACCATTAAAATCGGCGACCATTAAGAGCAGACCACAGGGAACCAAGCCAGCCTGACGACAGGTGCGTTGAAATAAATATTCAGTAATTATTTCGATCCATGATAATTACAAATTAAGAATTATAAATGAGGTGTTTTTTATCCGCCGCGTCTGATACTGAATGTCTTGTAATCAGCGGAAACAATGAGGTTTTACGACAATGCGCTTGTCGGCTATTCAATCCGATTTTACGGGGCTCCATCTTCATCAGGACACTAAATCCTCGGAGAGAATACGATTCCGCCAGAATGTGCCTCTGTCATTCGGGGCTTTACTATCATATTTTATCGCGTATGGCCTTCTATATTGACAACTTCCTGGCCATAAAATCCAACAAAGTGCACTCCGGGGCCAACAAAGTCGGTGCAATGAATGGCCAAAACTTAGGAAAGTTTGTGTAAACATTTGGCGAAGGCAAACCGAAGGCGAAAGCAAACTGCCAAGAGCACACATAACCAGGAGGACACAATGTGTGAACATCGAGCTATTATTAACCTGAGTTCATTGTTCGGCAAATTAAATGTTCAAAATCAGGGCAGTGGGGATTGTCATATTCGATTCGGTTTGAGGTCAAGGATTTGACACTGTGGCTGGATGAACTGTAAAGGATATTGTTTTATTTGTTTTTCGCACATAAGTATCATTGTGTATTGTCGCAGGACGAATGTCAGAGCCAATTGGGGTCGAATTTGGCCAGGTGCATAGGGCAACCGACTCCCAGGGGTTATCTGAGTTCCTGCACTTAAAAAGCGTTTAAAGATGTTGCCGGCAAGAGACAAACAACCGCAACCAGGGGGAAACAATATAAATGCATGGCATGGCTTATTTACAAGTTGTGTGCTCTCAAGTGCATACATAATTCCAGACTGTGTGTGCATTTGCCGAAGGACCAAGGACGTTTCGCTAAAAGCTCTGTGACGAAGACCCTGCTGTAAGTGAATTACTTTGCCACAATCTGTGAACTACTCATTGGGATACATTGAGTCACTCACACACGAAAACCGATCTGCGGTTACTCACATACTCAGATATGTACTTTTTTTCCGTTTGAACGGAAAGAGTGCAGGGCCAGGAATTAAGGTTATTAGGCTACTGAAATGGTAAGTTATGATCCGATGATTTTCATTAGCCAAGGCCTGCCCTCATGAATAATTCATTTCAAGTTTATCATTTCAATGGGCAACATGTTGATTTAAGCCCGACTCGCCTAGAGCCAAAAAAAAAAAAAGAAACAACAGTTCTTGACACCCCGAAGTCTTTGGGAACCCCCGGACAGGAGGATTTGGTTGTTTATGTAGTCAAGGGACGTGCAACCCTTTTGTCAATTGGAGAGTTTCCTTCGAAATTTAAGATGGGAAAGTCAGAAGCACACAGACTGGGAAAAAATGGCGAAACGAAATGGAGAAAAATACTGTTGCATATTTGATTGTCTCGTTCAATATTTACATATTCTCGGACTCGTCAGCTTCGCCTTGCCTTGCCTCTTTGCTTCACCTTCTGTCGGGCCACGCTTCGTTTGCCTTTGGGGCAATGGGCCCCATCCTTGGTTATCCTGCGGCGCCATGGACGAGTTATCGACTTTGTCGACCCCAAGATGCGTTGCCGTGGCCACAACGGTAGAGACCGTAGATCTAGGGCCATCCGGCTGAAATCTGAATTTGCATTTCTATTGTTGGCCCTTTGCATTCAATGGGAGATGCGGTTTTTCTCATTCGTTTCAATTTTTTTCTGTTTTTTCTGGCAGCGTGTGAACCCCTGCACTTGTTTGTTCTTTAGCAAGAACTGCCTGAAAAAAAACCAAGTCCTGTCACGCACCTGATACCAAAGGATCAGTGGTTTGATGGCCATAGCCGGGCTTTGGTCTCACAAGTTTCGATTATTTATTGCCGGCAAAAGGATAATCAAAACGGAAAAAAGAGTTTTTTCAGCGAGCGGGTTCTGAAATAATAATTGGGACTGAATGCCGTATGTGTTTGCAGTTATTTGTTGGTGGCAGTTTCCCCGCATTAATTGCAACCTGTTTATTTGCAGAGAAAATACCAAAATAAATCAAAAACTTCATGTGTGTTGCATCACTTTAAAGGCAATTCAGTTTAATTGAGAGTGCAAAGGTAAATTTCTAATATAAATTTAAAGTTTCTCAAGTACACTTGATTGCGGCAAACGCTTAGTGATTAATTAGGGGCTTAATTGTGAGTTGTATCCGGGCTGGAAAATCAATTAAAGGGCGATTAAAAATATTCATCCCCAGCCTCGATTGCGGCCTGCCACATCATTTACATGTCAATATTGAGTCACTTTGTGGCTGCCCACAGCCATTCCATCGTAATGCATTGGCTAAATCCGAAAACAGGAATTCTCACAGGACTTTCGGGCCGTTTACCTACTGTTTCAATTAAATAAACATTTTTAATCAAGCCGAGAATTTGTCACACAGCCTGGCAAATATTTGGAGTGCCAGTGGAACGATTAGCTTGTTCATCGCCCGAATAAACAACAAATAAATAAAATGTAAACAAGCAAACACAGATACATGACAGTTATTAAGTTCAGTGTTTAGTTATTCTCCAAATAATTTGAATCTACCTGTCAGGCATGTACATTTGAGCTTGATGCCTTTGTCCCGAGCTAGGACTCTGCAGTGATGGCAATTAAAATGCAGAAAAAGCGCAGTCTCCTTCTGGACTACACGGAATACAGAATAATACTTTGACATTCCACTCACAATATTGAGAATATTTCTGCACGCAATGCGGTTTGTTTATGTGTCTGTCGAAGCGTAAAAAGTCGCACAATGCGACAGTTAAATATTGTGCAATATACATATATTTTTTATGGCCCATAAGGGATGGGGGAGTGGTGGTGATGGACCTGGAGAAATGGATACACGTTCCTCGTCCTGGCTGCAATAACTGGGAAACAAAAAGTTAATTAAGTTCTTAAAGGACCGTTCTTCACTTTTTGTCCCCACGTCCTTTCTGTGTGTGCTTTGCATATCTCAGCGAAAACGGCGACAGAACCGTGGCACAAATACGTGGAAAAGGACCAGGTTCAGGACGAAAGAAGGAGGTGTTGGTGGTGCAGCAGAGGCAGCAGCAGCTCACATAAATTGATTCCATACAAAATGGTATAATTCATTCTCGTTTCGTTTGCACCTCGATATCCAGCTACCCGGTTACCCGGTCATGGCTATCCGGTTGCATTGTCCGGAGAACGCCGGAGAACACTCCACGCTCGTGGGCTGGTGGCGCTTAACCCTCCGGATTACCATCGCATCCGCACTCGGTGAACAATAAAATAAATCATGCATCCCACCAGGGCCAAAAGTGTCCGAGCAGGTCATCTTTATTTTCGAGAATTTTTTGGAAAGCCGTTTAAACCTAAAATACTGGCCATTGCTTTGGTTATTTCTGTTGACAGCCAAGAGGATTTTTTGTTTACAAAACAGAAACCAAAACATTTCTAATGTCGCTGTCGTAAAAATTCCATTTCAACTAGAGCTTAAATTTTAAATATTCAACCCACCCATTTTGACACATTTTCCTTTTTTTTCCAACGTTGAAGTGAGGTCCTCCGACCTGGCTAATTAGTTTACAAACCATTAACACCACACGGGGATGTATGGCCAAAAGCTCTCCCGGCCAACAGCTGCAAGCTAACTTAAAATGGCACTCACGTAAGGAGTTGACACCGCGACTTTGGGCCAACTCAGCGGAGACTTCGGGCCAACTCAATTTATGGTGCAAAGGATGTGCAAAAAATGAAAGCGACAATGGCAGTTTGAGAGACCCTTGAAGGGCTGACAGGTGAGCAAAGCTCCTGGCCATCTCACAACTCCAGATGGTGGCAGCAAAATAACGAACCTCCAGTGGAGGCAGCTACCAAATTTAATTACAGCTACATATTAGTTGGTAGTTGCATAAACAAGAAATATGGGCGTAGCCTGGGTGTGGTGGGTGGCTTGGCGAAGTGTTTTCCAATTTTAGCAGGCGGCCAAATTGTAGTCCTGTCACTCCAGAACCAGGCCCAGACCCCTTCCTGGGACTGGCCTGCACAAACTTGAGCCAATTTCATGCTGCAACCCACAAGAAAAAAAGGTTATATTTATGTCTAGACTTTAAGTACCTCTTAAATTTTAAAGAAAACGCTCTTCTACAGGATTACTTAACAATGAATTATTATGTTTCTAACCATAACGCAAAATATATAGAAGATTAGAATAGAAACTTACCAATAACACATATCATCCTTGACCAATACCCTATACAAAAAATAAAGAAATCCTAGTGTTGGGGTTGCAAACTGACGTCTATTACTTGCTTTCTCAGCTCTGCGAGCCATGTATTTGGCCAGGGCTACTCACTGTCTGGGCCAGGGCCATAAATTATTAAATTTTAACAAGTTTTTATGCAACGGCAACATCCTGTCTCCTTGTCTGTCGGCCACCAGACCGCTTCTCTTTGTCCATCCACTCCCCTTTTGGCCTCCTTTCCTCGTCTATTTTGGCCAAATCGAGAAACTTGGTTTACTTTGTCAGTGGCCCGAACGTGACTGAGAACCGGGTGGGGATCCCTCGGATGCTGCAACGCCCCCAATAGCATGGCATGCGGCTAC